ATGTTGTCAAGCAATGCATGCGGTATCCGTCCACCTATCTTTTGCAGTGATTAGACTTTCTGCTGAAGACGTTCGAGATGAAGCCAAACCCTTGCAGTAGTTTCTTAATGCACTCTGGTCCAGCTTGACCAGACACCCATAGCGACATTCTGTCCTGCACTAGCCTCCAAATTGAAATGCATTAGTAAATTGTAGTCTATGACGGGTGTTGATCTATATGCACTCACACCTGGCAGATATGCAACGCGTGTACTGGTCCTGCTAGATCTCCGAGCTCTTGTCCTCACACCACTTTCCTAAGGGAGGAGACCGTTACCAGACCGGGAAGGAAAAAGGATTCTGGACAACACCTGAAACAGGATTAGTAAAATAAGCGTGAGAGCACGTAACATTCCCTCGCTACTTCCAGAACAAACCAAAATCGTTATCGAACTGATGGCACTCACTGAGAACCTTATTTTTCTTTCAAGAAGTTTACTTATGAGTGGATCCCACCGGTCTCGTCGTCCCAAGTCCGTTAGTGGAAAACACGGTGCGAACGAATGAACAGGCAGGAATCGTCTTTCTTTCTTTTCTTTTCAATCTTCTCCAGCGGCCTCTGGGTTTCGATTGTTATTTTCGAGTGTCCGCATAGAGTGCTCATGTCGGTCTGTCTTCCATAATTGCTTGGGGAGACTTGTTTTGTCCTGATTTGACATCAGACTTGATCGGGCTGGGAGCGATCACACCCCTCTTCGCTGATATAACGGATAGGAAACAGAATAAAAACCTAAGGAGTCGTTGCTTCGCCGTTGAGTACAAGAATGCTGTGGAACTTTTTTTCAGACCTAACGGCTATTCCCATTCAGCGAACAGGGAGTCATGTGCGTATAAATATTCGTGACAATGAACATCAAGAGAGTATCCACCTGTCATCTCACAGCAGAGCGTTTGACACTGAACTTCATTTTTTCGCTTCCCGTGACTTTAAGGACAAACCTATTATAGTGAACCAGTTCTCAAGGCCCTGTGAGATCGATACTAATGATGACCCTTAGTGTTTTCATACTGGGAGATAATAGTCGATCACTTTCCAGGCCAGCCACTACTCGCTCACAGTAAGTCACAATGAAACACAGCAAAGCTTAGAAATTTTTGTAGTATCTCGCAACCCTTTGCAAAGTACGATACAGCTTCTTCTTCACTTCGGGAACGGTATTACGGCTTCGGACGCTGTTCCAGTAAGGATGAATAGCACCAACTCTAGCTGAGCAATGATTAATCAAAAGGCTCACGTGACATGAGTTCGGAATTTGGCCTTCAGTTGATCCTCACTCTAGGAAGATCTCCTGTAATTCTGTAAACTACTTTGTCATAACGACATTGTGTTCAGTGGGCTCACCATTCAAATTTACCGAAGGCTAGCTAGCGTGAGTCCCAGTCCACTGTTGCAAAAGCGACCAGATTTCAGACACAGCTCTTCTTCCATGTCTCTACATATTGTGGACTAGTTTTGATGTCAATCCTCGGACTATTTGTAGCAACTCGAGGAGGGTGTACTGCTACCCATGTGAGATGTCCTCCTTGTACCACTTAATCGCCTGGTTCCCGCAGCGAATGCGCTAGCAACCGCTATCGCAACCCCCATCCCTCCCCGGGCTTCACTCCCACACACTCGCCAGTGTGGAAGGGTCATACACACTTTCTCTGTTACGAGACTGTCAGCCCACAACCCTCATCCGTCTAAAAGGGTCTATTTTCAGTGGGACTTGAGAAGCATTGTGTTGCTTCCAGAGCATAAATTCCATGTACTGATCTTTTACCACTTCACTACATGTCTAATTTTACAGATATCATATTGCTGAGAAACAATGCGTGCTCTGTATGCAATTTTATTATTGTTGATTGTCATTGCTGTCTTCGCTGAGGCACAACAAGCAAACGAGCCTGAACCAACTCTGGTTAGGTGGGAAACTAGAGATAGTTGCATTTTTAATTATAACTATATCTTAAGCTTCTGGTTTCAGAGTCAAACGTCGTCGTCCTTACGGATACGGCTTCCCATACGGCATGGGTGGATTAGGCTATCCTGGCATGATGGGTGGATATGGTGGAATGGGCTATCCTGGTATGATGGGTGGATTTGGCTATCCTGGCATGATGGGCCCATGGGGATGAAAATAACGTGGAAGGTTCTGAAACTTTCGGTACCTGTGTGTATTGTCAGCAGCATTCTTTTCACTTTGTTATCGTTGAGTTCGAGTTCTTCACGATTTTCGTTGATGCTATTTTATACAAAACACTGTAATCATATGGAATAACGAAAGGATTTCATGCTGAATAAAATTGCACAGAAGCATGATCTCAGCTTTATCCCCAAAATTTTCCACGGTGTCTGAAAATTAGGAGATGTCGGCAGAGTGAAAAGTATTTCTGATAAGCAAAGGGAGGTGATATCATGGAATGAAGTTCATCGAATTCCGGGCACCTAGGATACTGGTGATCACGCAGGAGCTGACTACCGTTTCCAGGACAGAGGACTAGATGCTTGAATGTATGCTCATAAATAACATCGTGGGACCAGGGTCAAGGCCCGTCAAGGACTCCCTCAGAAAAGTGTACTAGAACTAACTAGGACTTCCCTTCACTTTTTGCGGTGACCGCTGCCCCCACTCAGTAATTTTGACTCTTCCTGCCGGAATGTACTGATTTGGTTCTAATAAAAAATTCGATTGTAAAAAGGAACGCGGTGAACCGCTTCATGAAATCCGCTTTTGACATCGATCCCGCACTCACGCTGTCTCAGCTATATTGACTATTCGCTCCCCCAAATGCTGCTTCTTTCTCAGTCAGCCAAATACCACTCCGTCCCCGCTGAGGAGTCCTCAAAGGAAGTTTGACACTTAATTGTACTGAAGTATTAGCACGCGTTCATACTACGCAACCGGCCTTATAAGAGAATTTTCAGTCGAGGAAGTTTAGTTGATATCGTAGCGATCAGTCGGACCGGTATCAGGAGAAGCGCAATGAGCTCTCATCCTGCTCGCTTTTTTGCAAATAGTGATCGGTTTGTGATCAGTCCACGAGAGGAACCGCCTGTGGTGAAAACGCCGCGGAATCTCGTTCCATACCTCTTGACAGCATCACGACGTACTGCAACGAAATCAACTGTATGAACGCATTTCACCCACTGACTATCTCCTTCTGCAAAACGTACATCGCAAGAAGCCTTCATAAGTTCTTTTCTGGAAATACTCAACACAAAACCATGGCCAAACGGCCCAACAAGAGGCACTTCGGCGAGTCACATATCAGTAAAGTTTACGCAGTAAGACAGAAGACGTGGACACAGGTAGAGTCACCCATGTGCTATGGCTGTCTTCCTGGTCAAGAGTGCCGGTCCCCAGCTACCTGGAGACCGGCACTCTTGATCAGGAAGACATCTAACCTCATCGAGCAGCTCCGACAACGTCGCTACGGTCCAGGATATCATCTTCACCGCAGTCGCCAAGGCGCGGGTTGATGGGACCGGAAGTACCTGGAATGGAAGACCGATATTTTCTTCGTGGACCCCGGACTGAAAGTGAACGCTGACTGTTACATCGAACAGCTCGGGAAGAATATGTCGTTGCCTTCATTTCTTCGCCTGTACCATCTTGGAAACTTCGTACTGCTACAGGACTGGGTGCCACCACATAAAACGAAGGGTGTTGGAAAAACTCTCGCCTACTCGAAATCGAAGGGCGTTGATACATGAAGAAGACGGAATTCCAAGTGTGTCGCCCCTCCTTAGCTTTCTCGATTAATGAGTTCGAGAGGAGTTCAACAGGGTGGTCTACAGTGGCGGAGAAATCAACGACCTCGCTGAACTCAGGCACCGAATCACGGTCGCGTGGCAGAATCTCTCGATGGCGTTCGTCCAGAAGGCTGTGGCGGAGTTTCATGATACATACAATGTGTTGTTGAATATGATGGTGAAAATGTCCAATCAGAATTTAATGAAGTGTAACTTATATCGCCTTGAAAGTCGAGGAAGAAAAGTGTCTTTTTTGCCCCCCCCCCTGTACTTCATAATCAGTAGGACCCCTCACGATACCCCTTGTGAAGGAATTAATTGCTCCGTCCTGAGCAGTTTATTTGAACCTATTGCCTTACTCAGAATAGTAGCCGTAGCCGACCTGGGAGGACTGCACTATAAGAATGTGATTTGATCCAGGAAGGTGGCCAAAAAACACAGGCGTGTCCGAGAACATGGAGTATTGCGTTTCAGGAGATACAGTGACTGATAGAGTTCACATGAACTTTCCGAAGTAGTCATCCGACTATTGACTTGGGCCTACCCACACAATGAAAGAATCGATGTTATGTCGCAATTCCTTACGTCCATATCGGTTCAGGGGTTCAACGATTATGAATTAAACCAGCGAATTTTCGAATCTCTCGTGTGAATCTTGATTACTCGTCCGAAAGAGTCTAACATGTTTGTGCACTGGTTGCGCGAAGGTCCGAATGCTCTTCAGTCAATTTCCTCTGAGCTCACAATGGACGATCGATCTCTAACTTATGGGATCAAGCTC